CTTCAGCGGCTCCATATAATCTAGAAGCCGTGATGATGACGTCGTTGTGCCAGAGGAGCCAGGAATTATAAGAGGTCGATCGGTAACTATAATAAAACAAAAACCTATTTATCGCAAACAGAGGTAATATTTATTTATTAGGCCACGAGTGTTTTTGTGCTGAGCTCAAAGTTTCAACGCAATTGAGCGATGCCCGGCCGACAGGCCCGTAGCTAGAGGGGGGCCAGAGTGGGCAATGCTCACTCTGAAAGAAAAAGTTGCCCACTCTAGAGTAGACTAGAAAAAAATATATTTAATGTAGGAAAAAAAAAACATAAAATCACAAAGCAAATTATGTGATTTATGGGTCAATTCTGTGCACATCTGTAAGCAATTCTAAAATTTCTATAAGCCTATAGCTGCCTAAAGACCATTTGTAATTCTGCACTTTCTGTAGATTACAGAATATATTATAGGATAGTAAATATTTTCAATGGAGTGTTTGGCAATTGATGCGTTTTGCAGTGTCTATAGGCTTACAGAAATTTATAGATTTGCTTACAGATGTGCACAGAATTGACCCGTTAATTTCTGTTTTCCCGTATAATATTATCAATGCTTTTATAAACTCCAATTATTTTGAAAAAGTTTACTCCTATTTACTGCGACCGTTTATAAAATCACAGTTTAGTTCATATTTTACCTTAATTAAGATGGGTGGCATTAATGACATTTGAAATCTGTTACTTCTGTGCTCTTAATTATTGATTGATTTTTTAAAATTCGTCTGCAAAGAGAAAAAAAACTCACATCAGAATTGGCTCAAAATTGACATAAACATTCTTTGATCTACAATCCGAATATTTCGGTTTTTCGATATTTTGCGAGATTTTAGAAATAATCCATAACGACTATAGGCAACCAGGGCTGGGACTCTGTAATGGATAGAGATCGTTATCCCTATCGCTATGGTACTTGCTATCTTCTTCTCTCTCTTGGAAATCAATAGAGAGGGTACATCAATAAAGAAAAAATCTCTATTCGTTAGAGAGTCCTAGTTCAGATATAAACTTTCCATTTCGAGAAAAACGCAAATTATCGAAAAACTAAAATATTCGGATTGTACATAATCCATCAAAGAATGTTTATGCCACTTTTGAGCTAATTCTGCTGTGAGTTTTTCTTTCCCTTTGCAGACGAATTTTAAAAAATCCACATAGAACTGGCAGATTTCAATGTCATTAGCGCTCCTTCAAGAGCGCTCTTATGTATTTTTATTATTTCTTTGTGTTTTGTTAATAGTCCTTGGGCCCAGATCTAAATTTTTTATTTATGACCACACCGTCGAAACTTTTTGTATTTGTTATTTGGGTGGAGTCGGACAAATTTTGAGCTCGGCGCATTATGGTAGTGGGGCGTTTGTCTGTCAAGCTGTCACGAAGTTGTCGATTTTATGCAACAAAAAAATGTATGACCACATTGGTAATTTTATTTTAATCAATAGTTTTTATCACATAAACAACGAAAAAAAATGTGTCGGACAAAAATATTGGGGCATTCGTCGCGTCGGACACGCTAAATATGTCAAATTTATGGGAAAAAAAAAATTATTACCACACGGCTGATTTGAACAGAATCTGCCATAAAAATATTTTACAATAACGTGGGAACCTTGTCGGACAATTTTCACGGGGCATATGCGCAGTCGGATGCGCCAAAGATGTCAGTTTCCTGCAACAATTTTATTTACAACCACAGATGCAATTTTTATTTTTTACTGTTTCTTTACATGTGTAACGCATATCGGATCAATTGTCGGACAAAAATAATGGGGCGTTTTGATACAATTTAAAAAAAAGTAGGTAATTTTTGTAAATTTTCACTTCTTCACTTTTCAAAATTATCAGACGCAAAATTCCAAGATTAGAGCAACAGTTGAAAGAAAAGAACAGATCAATAATTTTTCCAACAATGGCTAATTCTAAAATAATTTAACCAACTTTGAACCCTTGAAGAAGGAAACAATAAAATTTCCGAAAGCTCGGCGTTTGTGGAAAACTAGTTTTATTTTTGCCAAGACTGAATCCCAAGAATCATCTCACTTATTAAACAAGCCAGTCAAGAATTTCTACATCTATAATTTATAGTATTATATGCATTCACACATACCCACACACCTATATGTTTTATACAGGGTGTTACTAAGAGCGCGGTGGTCCCTATCTCCTATACTAACCGAGATCGAAGAAAAAAGTAAATACAAAACTTGTAGATAAACATGAGTGCTACATTCCTAAATTATTTTCGAGTATACAGGGTGGCCCAATAAGTAGTGGTGACACAAGGCTATGCTTTTTAAATGAATAGCCCTGTATATTATGACATTTCAGGATTCTGGGGAAAATTCTAGACATATTTCATGTACAATGTCATATACCTATCTTCAACTGTTTCGGAAGTATTGACAGTTTGAAATTGACTTTTTTGCAGCTTTGACAGACTGTAAAACAGAAATTAATTTTAGAAGAAAACCGATTTTACATTCCTATCTTAGATTTTCATAAGCTATCATTTGACACCAACTTTAAATTTGACCGAAGATTATAAATTTAAGCGGAATTTTTAATCATGGATTAAATTCAAAGTTGATGTCAAATGATGCCGGTGAAACGAGCGTGCGGAAAAGTATAGTTTTCCACACGCATTTTAGGTCATGAAAGTATCACTTTTCCGTACTAGTGCTTTTCCGTTATTTTTTGATACAATTTTTTGATCAATTTTTCGCGTTCCCAGTTTTTCGGTGATTCGTCACCGTATCAATGTTAAGGCAAAAGCAACCATCGTTGCCGTATTTTCGAGTGTGCTTCAGCGAATGCATCGCTTGGCCCTTTAAATTTTTAATACATTTTTTTTATGAAAACTAATAACAAACGGTGAAAATTAATAATATAAGTCCAACGCTGACATGTATTAGTATTAATACTTATTTATTGAATAATATTTTTTTCACCACATTTATTTAATAATAAATAATATTTAATGATAATATTTTATGTATTTTTTCTTTATATGTAGGTACTTATATGTTTATATAAAGTAATATAAGCATTAACTCATCCTTATAATTTAAGAACGTCGATAGCCTATAAGAAATAAATTTCTTGTATGTTTGCCCCAACATTTTTGTCAGACAATTACATTTTTTATTTAAGAATATAATTACTGGTAACCTTCTACTTTTGTCGGAAAAATATTTGTAAAAAAAGGGATACCTGAACCCAGTATAGTTAAGAAATATCGATTACCAATAAAAATTACATTTTTTGTCCGACTGTCGATATGCCCCAATATTTTTGTCCGACACTTAGATTTTTTGATTTAGAATATAATTACTTAGACCCTCCTATTTTTGTCGGAAAAATGGTTGTAAATAAATTTTTTGCAGGAAATTGACATCTTTGGCGCATCCGACTGCGCATATGCCCCGTGAAAATTGTCCGACAAGGTGACCACGTTATTGTAAAATATTTTTATGGCAGATTCTGTTCAAATCAGCCGTGTGGTAATAAAAAAAAATTTCCCATAAATTTGACATATTCAACGTGTCCGACGCGTCGAATGCCCCAATATTTTTGTCCGACACATTTTTTTTCGTTGTTTATGTGATAAAAACTATTGATTAAAAAAAAATTACCAATGTGGTCATAAATTTTTTTGTTGCATAAAATCAACAACTTCGTGACAGCTTGACAGACAAACGCCCCACTACCATAATGCGCTGAGCTCAAAATTTGTCCGAGTCCACCCAAATAGCAAATACAAAAAGTTTCGACGGTGTGGTCATAAATAATAAATTTAGATCTGGGCCCAAGGACTATAAGCTTTTATATTTCATAATCAGTTATTATGTACTTTGGAAAGTGAAGTTTTTGCACCTTGTCCGTGATTTTAAGTAATGCTAAAAAAAACAAAAATATGTTTGCCCCCTCTAAATTTTCGATTGCCCCCTCTGGAATCAAAACCTGGCTACAGGCCTGCCGGCCGAATGCCATGCAACATTTCATCTTCAAGCTATCACTGATTTTTTAAATCCATTTTCGGAAAAATAAAAGGCCGCCATTATAATTTACGACGAAGGTATGTCAAGTTTTTTTACTTTAAATGTCAAATCAATCAAGTAACTCGGAACGCATTTCACTGCTCCGAACATGGACGACACGAATGAACAATCAACGTGATTATCTGTTTTTATTTATGTCATAATTTAATCCATATCTAATATTAAACCGAAAGAGTAATGCGAATAAACTTGTGCGAGAAGAAAACGCAAAATCAATTATAAGATCATAATACCGTTTCAATCCTCCCGTCTCCCGTGATTGTCAAGTGTTGACGACAATAAAGTTAAATATATTGACCGCTTGAAGATAAACAAAATTACATTGCAAAATTTATACCTCTTTTGCAGCCCGTTGAAGGTGCAGTGATCTTGATAGTTCCATCAGGAGGTGGACTACAATTTCCTTTAGAAAAACGACTTCCTTTAGGAAAACGACTTCTTTTAGGAAAATGACTTCCTTTAGGAAAACGACTTCCCTTAGGAAAACGACTTTTTTTAGGAAAATGACTTCCTTTAGGAAAACTACTTCCTTTAGGAAAACGACTTGTTGACCTGAACCCTAATCAAAAGCTTGAAGATTTTGGGTGACTATAGGGCCCGTATTCATAGTCGATGCTCAAGGTTGCGTCTTGGCTCAAGCGCTCAAGTACGACTTGACTCCATATTTACGTTTCCAAACAGCACGGAACGATGCTCACAACTGTCAAAAATCGGAGCTTGAGCCAAGCACTCGTCTATGAATACGGGGCTAGAGAGACTGGGGTCATCATAACTATGATATCATCTAGGACAAGGACTTGGTGAACTTAATTGAGGAGGAGGCGGAATGTGATCACCTATCTTTGGAACGGGGATTGGTGACTTCGGCAGCTCGAATAACACGAACTGTCCTGTGGCTTACCTAAATGTATTAGCGGTGCGCCAACCGGTCCCTTATGTGGACGACGTTTTCGTCTTGGAGGGATAGGTGGAAGCGGAGACGGAATGGGTCCTATCTCTGGGGGGACTTGTGGCTCCGTCAGCTCGGAAGTACTTGGCTCACTACTTGGGGAGCCTGGCAAACTTCGATAAGTTCCTTCCATCACTATAATAAGACAAAAGAAAATTACACAAAAAACGTGACGACAAATGTAGCAGTTATTATTATTAAGGATTTACATCATTAGCCCATCTAAATTGTTTTAACAAAAGACCTATATTTATGGTACAGTATTAAATCTGTTAATTTTTATATATTTATTATACAGGGTGAGTTACTAAGCGCGCGTTGGTCCATATCTCCTATACTAAAGGAAATCGAAGAAAAAACTGAATACAAAACTTGTAGATAAACATGAGTAGGTACTACATTCCTGAATTATAGGCAAAAACATTACTTGGAAAAATATGCGATTTCTCACTTGTTTAAAATAATGAAAAATTGACATTTGATGCATACTCGCACAAAATAACCCAGAGGAACGCGGAACTACAATCTGTTACTAAATCTCCGCAATAATATACCTACAGAGCGTCGTAAATTTAATGATTATAATGAATGATTCATAAAAATATTAAAAACTTGATTATTTCAAATGGGATGCATAGTTTATTATCATCACATTGGAATGCTGATAAAATTCTCTCTCTGCCTATGTTGATATTTCTATACGTATCTTTTATGGTCCCGGAATAAGAAGCATTTCTTTAAAAAACAAAAACAACGTAGTTTGATACCATCAGTCAGAATGAATTTTGACAAATGCATTGACAGATTTTAAGAAAATCAGTTTCATCACGTGCTTGTAGGCACCTTCTGGAAGACTTTTCTAATGATAAACTGTTAGCTACGACTGCGGTTTAATTAATAATTTCTTTTAGCACATTCATTTCTAGAAAAAAATTGCAAAATGCAAATCTGTCAGAAAACCTATTTATGTATAACTCGAAACAACGACTTAAGAACCTCTTGTTCTCATAGAGCTTTTATGAGAAAAAAATCAAAAAACATAGTTATTTGTATACCTAGGCTGCGAAATGCCTTTTTAGCGTACGCAGAGAAAAGTTATCGCCTCAAAAGTTTCGCGGTCATGGTAAACACATAATTTTTTGTGTAGGTACCTCTAAAAATTATGTTACAGAGAAACTGTATGGATTTGACACATTTTACACGTAAGGTGTGGCGGCCGCGAAAGCTCGATCATTTTAAAATTTTATTTTGCATAGTCATTTGACCCTTTATGGTGAGACTACAAGTCTCTTTAGACAAGCGGTCGACAAAGAACAGATAGCGCTAATAATTGCCAACGTTCGGAGAAGACAAGGCACTTAAAGAAGAAGATTTGACCCTTTATCTTTTACAAATGAGTAACATATGTAATAAATTATTGTACATTAATACGCCAGGTATGTAATTTAATGTAAAATACTGAGGAAACTTGCGGGAATTTAGTGTAATACTTCACATCAAAAAGTAAAAAAAAACAACAAAAAAAAACGTCCCTGGACAGTTTGGAAACCAAGTATACGAATTTGGGATTCTACGCAGAAATTTTAGGTTTTGCGCAAAATCGTAACGGTACATTGTAAGGTTTCCTGGCTGTGTTGGAACAGAGCTACATTGTCCGGCGTTTTCTTGGATGCATAATCTTGCAAAACGTTACCATCTGCCGCTCCGATAAAATAAATCGTGTTAATTCTCTTTTTTTTGGTGAAAACCATTTCTGACAACATAAACTGTATTTATTGAAATTCCTGTAAATCTGTCAAAACATTTATCAAAATTCGTTCTGAACCTGGTTGGTAAAATATTTTTTTTTAAAGAAAGCTTCTCATTCCGTCACGATAAGAGTTCCCGTATGGGAACAATAACATAAAACTATAGCTCTTAACCCTACTATAGTTTTGAAACCTCTTAAAAATCAAGCAGGCCGTCTCCAGAATGAAAATTGATGGCACTGTCAACATCCGTTCCCGAACAAAGAGGGGTTTACAGGTTTGTTGGTAATCTGGCATTGCATAAAGTTCTCTTTGCATTGCATAAAGGGCTCTTTTTTGTAAGACGAACACTGACTGAGTGAGTTCTTATTCTTAAAACAGGGGAGCAACGTTCCCAGGAGAACGAGTGATCCGTCTTTTTCAATGATATGCAAATGATAATGTAAGTAACAAAGACGGAACACTCATTCTTTTAATTTAAAAGGAACAAGATGGCGGCGGGACCTCTATTGTCGCCACTGTATGTAAAGGTTTATTTAGCCACTGTAATATGGACCACCGCGCGCTAGTAACTCCACCCTCTATAATTAAAATGTATTTTTTTACATTCCCTGCTTAAAAGTAGTACAGTTTATAGATAAAGAAAAACGAATTTCATAATACCTGAGTGAAAATAGAAATTAAAGATTAAACTAAACTAAATTAAATTCAAAGTTGGGTAACATTCAACTAAAAATTGAAGAAGATCGTTCTAGTTCAGATGAATAATAAGGAACTCTCATAACATAGTCATTTTTGGTACTGCTTACCTTTTTCCAAATACCACATAGAAGAAATATTGTCAAGAGGTAGATTTAAAAAGAAAAAAATCTAATTTTTTTGAATGGCGGTGAATAAATTATCTATATACTTCGGCCAAATGTCCAAAACTAATAGCGAAATCTCTTGCTAAAACCAGTGCAGAAACAAATTACTTTTATCTCTTTCTTATACAAGCAGGTAGAAAAAGACACGAGTCGGTGTGAAGTTAGCAGCCAAAATCTGACAGCCAATTTGACGGAAACGCCCGAACTACCATTGGCGTAGCTTTTTTTTTTAATTCAAAATAAATTCAATAAATCATACTTTTTAACATGGAGTCTAGCCATGAAATGAGGAATTTGCAGATTTTTTTTTTATTCTCTTATTAAATTTTTCACATTGTAAAAAGTCACTTGCCACATAAATTTTAAATTTTCAACCAATAGTTTTTCTGTAAAAAAATATAGAAATTCAAAATAACTCTCTTCGCGCCAAAACGCAGGATGACGTCACAAGACGGTATGTGTCAAAACGAGTCTCTGTACTCCCTCTCTCTCTCTTACTCATTGTGTTTTGGCATTGGTTAATGCGACTATGCTGATCATTGTCATTTTCCATTCACTAAACAAAGATAGTGTTACGTTGATTTTGGAAATCAATTCTCTTCTAGTGAACTTATACCCTAAACATTAAGAGAGAGAAAGTTATAGTGTAGTAATGATAGTAATAAATATATATGACTAATAATAATTATCATAACAATAGCTAACTCATCGTTGAAGTCGCCGATTAGAATAAAAACGAGGGGTATCTTTGTTTAGTTAATGGAAAATGACAATGACCGACATAGAATGGTGAATCCATCGGTACAATTCGATGTAAGCACAAGTGTCTGACGGCTCACGTATCACGTTAACATAACCACACTTTTATTTGTTTAACGTTCCATGACGTCATAACCAATTTTAGGGCGTTTTCGCGCCCTTTATTATATGGGAGTGAACTCTGCGCCTACCGGTAGGTCCCATTTCTTTCATTGATTGTGTGCCTACCATATGTATAACGCTAAAACATTATGGTAGGTCCCCAATTGCCACATGATATAACGCCTATCGGTAGGTACTGTTTGTAAAAAGAATCCTGAGCCTACCGGTAGGTTCATATTAATTCAAGAATCTGTCGCCTACCTATTGTGCATATAATATGTGCATTTACGTTTGATAGGTGATATACCTATTTGAAAAAGGTTTCCCACGTTTTTGGTGGATTTAAGCTTCTCTTTGAAGTTTTTCGAGCGAAGCGAGCAATGAAAGGCTCAAAAATAATTTAAATTTCAAGGTGTTATATTTAATAAAGGTTTTTCACGTTTTTGGTGGATTCACCTGCGAGCAGAGCGAGCAATCGCAGACTCAAAAATATTTGAACCAAAAGGTGATAGATTTGAAAAAGGTTTTTCACGTTTTTGGTGGATTTGCTCTCCCGAGGATTCTCTCTCTCATCTTTGAGGTTTGGCCAGCATAGCGAGCAATCAAAAATAATTCCAAGGTGTATGCAGAAGGATTTTCAATAGGTTGCCGTCTAGAATGAAGCAGATTTCAAACATCAACAAGTTCCAAGCCCAAATTAGAAAAATGTAGGTACTAATAAAGGCTTATTACTCAGTGGACGAATTTTTTAATGACAATTCTACAAACAAACAAAATTGTATAAACACATTTAGCTAGCAAGAGCGGACTGGTAGGATATACGGATCCTAAAGTAAAAAAACACCTTCCAGTAGGCGCTTGATCAATTTACGAAAAAGGACCTACCTACCAGTAGGCGCACAATCGGTGGATGAAAAAGGACCTACTGGTAGGCGTACGATCGTTGGATAACAAAGGACCTACCGGTAGGCGTAGGGTTCACTCCCTTATTTATATTCAATATTTGAATAATTAATTATTTATTAGTGGTTCAATATAAAGAGGATTTGAATATGGAAATATACTTCTAGTGTATTTTGCTTCACTTTAAATACATTTTGCATCAAAATAAAATTTTATGCAACTTCCTCATTGAGAGCACTATTCCAACATCTTTTCCAACCCCCAACCCCTATACAAAATCCCATTGACTCAAACCCCATCGAAATATGAAAAACTAGTAAAAATGCATAAATATTCAGAAGGTCACGTGATCTTCCATTTAGAGTAATAAAACTCATCACGTGGGGCCGGTCATCGTTTTGCTCGCGGAGGATTAACCGAACTCGCCCAAAGTTAACTTTTGGAATGACTATGAGATGTGACGTCTTTCTACAAATTATTTTTCAGTTATTTATCAAAATAGTCTTATAATACCCGCCCCAATATCAATTAGTTATTATATATTTAATTTGTTTGGGTGGTACGAAATTTAGTAACCTGAGGTCTTTTGTCTCTTGATGAGATGCAACGGATTTAGCTATTTGGAGAAGTTCTTTTTTATTGGAACTAAAATCTTGTGATGAAAAGACGCATATCGAAGAAGCTAAAAAATAGTCGCTTGAGGAAATGAGCAGGCATTTTTATTTTTTTTAAACAAGGTTTTTGGAGAGTCTATGTTATGTTATTTTGTTTACTTAGTTGTCAAATCCAAACGAACCTGAATCTGAATCAGATAATTCTGAGGAATTTTTGTAAATAGGTACTGAAGTGAAGCTTCTTAGGTGGCGCGGCGATCTGATACTTGGACGACACTGGAGAGTGATTTGAATAACGCGTCACGGGAAAAATTCGTTACTCTAGAGTCTAGAAAGAAGAAAGATAATTATAAGCGCAAAGAAAATTGCTAAGATTATATCCGTGAACCGCCATTATGTAAGTATATTAAAATTATTTAAATATTATCGAAAATGATACAAGAGACGGAGAAAAACAGCCATTGATTGCCACAAATCAAGGATTATAGGCGCAAAAAAAATTGCCTATTATTGTCAAACGCCGATACCGTTGTGACGTCACTACAGATGCGCGTTTCCCTTTCTCTTCGTCTTCACCCCGACTAATATGCTGTGACATTTTTACATGTAAAAATGTCAATTTAAACATTGGTTATCGTTTAACCTCCCTTAAAATGATCGGTACAAACGGCTATAAAAGTTGAATGAGGGGGGGGGGGGATAGTTTTTAAGAAGTTTCACTTCTACCACGTGTACAGCGGTGCACATGATTTTTGAAGTGAAACTTCTTAGGCGGCGGTCTGATATTTGGACGACCATAAAGAGTGATTTGAAAAACGCGTTACGGGCAAATTTCGTTACTCGAGAGAGAAGAAAGATAAATGATATAACGTAAAGAGTAGGAAAAAGATAACTATTGATTGAGATCCTAAGGTGGATGTCATGCTGTAGAACTATTGATTGACTTAAACCAAGGATTATAAGCGCAAAGAGGATTGCCTATTATATACCCTTATGACGTCACTACAGATGTGCGTCTCCTTTTTGTTATACTATTAGAGTAAAAATCAAACGAGAAGAAGCCACACGCGTTATCGTTTGTCTCACTTTAAATAGGAGGGACCCAGAGAAAAGAAAATCTGCTTTCTTTGTCAGCGATGACGTCAATGGCTTCTTCTCGTTTGATTTTTACTCTATCATTGTGTTTTGTGATTATTTTCGTTACTTATACATATATACATTTGTGGCTGTGATTTTTTCCGATTATATCTGTGGAACCGTCATCATAAGTATATTAAAATAATTAAAATATTATCAAAATAGTATATTATATACCTAGGGAGTGTAATTCAATTTTTTCCTAGAAAAATAGATTGAATAATGTCTATTTCTCAGGTTAGTAGTAGAAAAATGATATAAGAGGCGGAGAAAAACAGTAATTGATTGCCACAAATTAATGATTATAAGCGCAAAGAGGATTGCCTATTATTGTCAAGCGCCGATACGTGTTGTTATGCACGTGACGTCACTACAGATACGCGTTTTCCTTCTGTTATACTATTATCAATGTTTCGTTTATATTTCCGTTATTTATACATTTGTGTCCTGTGCTTTTTGAAGCGAAACTTCTTAGGCGGCGGTCTCATATTTGGACGAGAATGGAGAGTGATTTGAAAGATGCGTCACGTTTTGGCAAACTTCGTTACACGAGAGAGAAGAAAAATATAACGTAGAGGGACAGAGAAAGACAGCCAATGACAATGACAATGACAGCCGACGAACGATAGGAACAAACCAAATAAACTATTATTATCAAGTTTGCCTATTATTGACAAGCGCCGATATTGACCCGAACCAACGATTTATAAGCGTAAAGAGGATTGCCTAGTATTGAAGCGCCCATAACATTCTGACGTCACTACAGATGCGCATCCCCCTTTTGTTATACTATTATAATGTCTAAAAGTTGTATGAAAGGGGGATTGGCGAAATTCCTGTACCATGGCGTTAAATTACGCGAAAAATGGCAATATGTCTACCGAACTCAGTGAACAACAAAGCCAGTTTTTTGAGGTTAGTTTTTCTTAAATTGTGTTTTATGGCGTTTTTGTGATTTATATAACAGAAACAATACATAAAAAAAATTATATTCTGTATTGTAAATTGAAAATTTCCAGAAACACTGCCGGCGGCCAAATGCAAACTTGCTTTGTTGTTCACTGAGTTTTGAGTACCAAAGTTGATCATAGATGTCGCCTACTTCGGGACCTTTCGCGAATAGTTTTTAAGACGTTTCACTTCTACCATGTGTACGGCGATGCACATGTTTTTTTTTTAATAAAATAATCTCTCAATAAACTACAATGGCGACAATTTGTCGTCCTATTTTTGATTGGTTCTCTAAAATCCTATATATTAATATGAAAACGGGCAAGAACATGGCGGCGTGACTTCTATTTTCGTCACTGTATGTGACGGTTTGTTTAGTCACTATATAACCTCTTACAGTGACTAAATAAACCATTACAAACAGTGGCGACAATAGGGGTCCCGCCGCCATTTTGGGGCTTACCTACCTCTTGCTACTTTTAAATATGAATATATAGGATTTCAAATGGACATCCATCATAAAAAAGTGAAAACAACGTATTTAATGACTACTATTAGGAACATCAAATACGTTGATTTCCATTTTTTATGATGGATGTCCATTTAAATCCTATATATTCATATTTAAAATTAGCAAGAGGTAAGCCCAAAATGGCGGCGGGACCTCTATTGTCGCCACTGTATGTAAAGGTTTATTTAAATCAATAGGGAATTTTCATATTCCTCAATTTTTTTTTTAGATAGATCTAGATCTAGTGGTCAGATATTACATAGCTTTCTTTTTTCCATTTCAATTTTTACGTTGTACAAAAATTTTTCTATTAAAATTCAAATCAAAAACTTTGGCGCGGAAACGCGAGGTTTCAATATGACAACGTTGGTGACGTCAAGATTTCGAACAATAAACGCAGCAAACGAACTCCTGCTGCTATTTTTGTGGTATTCAAGTGTGTTAAAATTTGCTTTTTTTGAAAATTGTCGCAATTGTTGAAAAATATTGTTAAGGACTGCTTTTGTAAATTGTATTTCACTTGCAAGTTCCCTATTGACAGGTTTGTTTACAGAATCGTGACGGCAAAAAAGGTAGCCATCATGGAAGCATTGTTTTGGCGGGAAATTCTTTATTTTAAATTTAGTATTACTTTTTGTGTGACAAGGGCGGTATCAGTTAAAAAACTTGGTTATATAATTGTGCAGTATAAACTATCGATTTAAGTCACAGTTGACAGGTAACCAATTAATTAAATTTCATTAATCATTTGTCAACCAATCGATATTAAATGGCGTTAACTGCATTGCTCATCTGTCAAAATAACCGAATGGTTAACCGGGTGCCTTCTTTTATTCAGCGATGGATCCATCTGCTGCCACCAATGAACTATAACCAAAAACTGGAATGCTAACACATAAGGATGAACGTGAAGCCTAGTGCGGCTGCTGCGGAGGGGATACCTGTTTTTGTCGCACTCATTATGTTAAATGGCGAAAATTGCTTCCAACACGTATTCCAATTAATGAAACCTGTGAAGGGAAATATGACAAAACTTTCGAAAACGTCATATGTCAGCGAGCAACAGAAAAAACAACATTCCCCGTTGTGGCATCTGTCTTTCATGGCTTCATTTTTTTGGCAGATATGGCACTGTGTGCGCATTCCAGTTTTTAGCTATAGTTCATTGGCTGCCACCATTATGAGACAGCCATTACGACTTTTTCTAAACTAGACAAAGATAGACTGGTCATCGATGGATCCATCGGTGAATAAAAGAAACCGCCCATCGCCTTGCCTTTAATTGACCCATGTCACTGTAGCACTGGGTACAGTGACTAAATAAACCTTTACAAACAGTGGCGACAATAGAGGCCCCGCTGCCATTTTGTGCCCTACCCTTTGCTAATTTCAAATATGAACATATGGGATTTAAATAGATATCTATCATAAAAAATTAAAAACAACGTATTTGATGACTATTAGGTACCATCGTCACCAGAAGTAACTGGGACAGCATCATATTAGCTCTTGTATTATTATATGAATTATATTGTCAAACTATGAATTAAATGCATTGAAATGAATGACGGTAGAATTAGTCCAGGAAATTAATATGCATTATTTTTGTCCCAGATACTTTTAGGGACGATGGTACATATTCATATATAAAATTAGCAAGAGGTAGGGCACAAAATGGCGGCGTTTTTCATATGAATATATAGGATTTTAAAGAACCAATCAAAAATAATAAGACAGCAATTCTCGCCACTGTGGTTCAATAGAGTTACTCCAAACTGGGTTATAGTGGCTAAATAATAAACCTTTTCATACAGTGGCGACAATAGAGGTCCCGCCGCCATTTTGTTTCCAATCTCTTGTTACTTTTAAATATTAATATATAGGATTTAAATGGACATCTATCATGAAAAATTGAAATCGACGTATTTGATGACTATTATTAGGTCCATCAAATACGTTGTTTTCCATGATTTATGATGGATGTTTACCTGAATTTCATATATTCATATTTAAAAGTAACAAGAGGTTGGGAACAAGATGGCGGCGCTTTCAATATAAATATATGGGATTTTAGAACCAATCAAATATATGACAGCATTTGACGCCACTGTGGTAATAGAGTCACTGTAGACTGGGTCGTTGACGCTGCCATCTACCGAGATGAAAACGAAAAATCAAGAACATAGATGCTGCCTCTAGTGAGAAAAAACCAAACAAATTATTCCATGAAAATCTCTTCAATTTTTAGATGCATAATGAATGGATCACTTTTTTATCAAATTTTGAGGACAAAGGTCGGTTCGTACATAAATCGCAAACCAGTCAGACTGAATTTCATTGGTAGAAACCGTTGAAACTAGTTTTCTGACTGTTTTCAACCAATGGAATTCGCTCTGACTGGTTTGTGATTTCTATGCGAACAGAGCTAATGTTCAAAGTCGCTTTTCAGTGATGCACTTTAAGCACTACTAGTCCTGAGCTGCTCTAGAGCGCCCCGGACTGTTTATAGGCGTTCCAGTGCATGCACTAGCTTCATTCTCAGTTACGCGAAATTCGCTCGTTTTTTGACGAGAATGAAGCTTAATGCACTGGAACGTCTATAAACAGCCCGGGGTGCTCTAGAGCAGCTCAGGACTAGTAGTGCTTAGAGTGCGTCACTGGAAAGCAAGCGACTTTGAACATTAGAGCGAATTTCGCGCAACTGAGAATGAAGATGCTTCATTCTCACTCAACACCACGACGCTAAAGTAGGGTGCGTTCCAGTGATACAGCAGTTGTTTGGAGCACCAGAGTGTAAAGCACCTTGAAATTCGTCACTGGAAAACGGCTCAAATTACAAACCGCTTGAAGATAAAGCCTAGTACTCATAACCGCGAATTGCGGATTTTTTTCTATAAGTGAATGTCATTGGTTGAAACTAGTTTTCTGACTGTTTTGTGATTTCTGCAGAAACAGACCTTATATTTAAATTTGACAGGTTTAAGTTTAAATATATTCGACCAATAGAAAAAAATTCGCAAAATAAAAATCCGCAATTTGCAGTTTTGAGTACTAGGCTTTGGTTATTTTCCTTGTTTTCGAACGTGCCCCATTTCGTACTGTCAATTGTCAACATCAATACAAAACAAGTTTTATCGATCTTTCCTGGTTGTTGCGTTGTTGCCCTTGTTGGTATCCATAGAACAATATCGCTGTTGGTGGTTGGGTTCTTGGATAATTTTCTGGTTGTTTGTGGCTGCTGTCATGAAATAAAATGTAAATACGAGCATCCTGCATCCCTGATGAAATAGATACTTTTGAACTAGTTATTTTTGGTGCATATTCGTGCAGTCCTATATTAAAAATCGGTTTCCGATGTGGAAGCAGTTTGAAATGGGGATAAGAGCATTCTTGCTTATTGCATCCAGAATATGGAGCTGTTTTTGTTTTACTTTGAAAAAACAGAGCAGAGCGGTAAGCATCTTGCATCTAGCATCTTTCCCTTTATTTCATTATTATTGAACTTGTATTTACTGTTTTGACCAAATACCGAAACTAATCTATTTTCGGGGCAAGTTTTTTTAAAACAAACCTCCTCATCTTAATGGAAATTCATCTGAAATTTGATTAATTTGCATATAACAAGATAATAATACAGTTCCACTTCATAATCGTAACATTTGGCAAATTCCATTTCTGGCAGTAGACCAATTTTTAACTTTCCTTTTTGTTTTTGCAGATAATACAGCATCAGGCTGTTAAGTATGATTTATTTCCCTTATCTCCCTTATCAAGACATAGATTGAGTAAGTATTGTGGATAACTATATTTTTTTAACTTCTTTATCAAATTCCCATTGTTAGTAGTAGGCACTTGCAGTGTTATTGTATTATTGGTTTATACGGCCCGATATTGAATCACCAGGCATAAGAATGTACATATTTGTCATCTACGCACAGTCACTAAAAATAACTTCTCATTGCAAGTGTTTTCTTGCTATGATTCAAAGTTGATTTTGCTCAAAAATCGATACGCTCATAATTCATTATGTATATCAAAATAAATCTAAATATATAACAATAATTGTTCTATTTTAATCTAATTTTATTGGTTTTACAAAGACTCGATCGAGAAGCACCTATGTATATGGGAAACTGTATGAAACCTTTCTTCAATTTTTATTGTAATTTTTGAATCAACAATGCATAGTATTTGAAAGTGTAGTAATTTTAATTTTTTTTGAAAAAGATTTTGTACTGTTTTTTTGTTGCTTTTATAACATGAATTAAAAAAGAAACATTTTTAGCTTTTGTAAGCCTGATAATGGGATGTAAAACTATTTGATCCCGAAACTAGTTGCTTCAAAAGAGGATTGTGAGAATTGAGACTTTTTAGCCTCATTTTTGTCCTAAATCTAAATAATTTGGTTACCAAAAATTATCAAAATCAATATTTATCCAACAAATTCAAATTTTAAGTTGCTTTTAGAAAATCTTCCAAAATGTTATGTCGCTATTTTTGCCTTCCTTTTATAGCCTCTTCACCCTTTCATCTAGTTGAAGGGTATCCAACTATAATAATAATTATAGATGAATAATCCCTAAACCTTATTGGTGAATACTAGTATCCAGCTGTCATATTATAGTAATAATTCACTCTAATTGAGTGGGTAAAAATGCAAAGCTTTGGATACATACCTAGATAATTTTTGTTAAAATGGAAAATTGGTTATTTCTTCACTTGAAAGCACTTCCGGCATTATGGGTTGTTATGTTGTGATTCTGTTAGGTGAATTTGTTAATGTTAGGCATAGTAGCCGCCACAGATATATGAGATTCCTCCAAAAAGCAAAGCAAAAACTCTACAGATAAAGGTTGAGAATTGATTTAGTCTAAGAGCAACAATTAAATTCATTTTGCCTATAGTATTATTGTATTATTCTGGATTAAGTACTTATAGAATAAATAAAGTTATACCTATTTTTTTTTTTAAAAAAAAGAAAATTGAAAAATAATTTTAAACATTATATACAATACCTTAAAGCGAATAATTTCAAACCAATATAATCTTTTACTTAAGTGATTACCTGAACTGTGCCTCTTGACTAAATGCTGTCCAGATGATAAAGGAACATACTTTTTTGTACGAATCTGGAATATCTATGGTGGCTACTTTATTTTAAAGATATTCAAAAGTATTTAAAATATATAAAAAAATTATTAAGAGGATTCAACAGAGATTCAAAAACAATTTAAATTGTATTTAAAAGCAGAGTGTACACCATATTTAAATCTATGCGCAACCCTAGATTATTCTAGCACTTACCATTGAGGTGTGTATTCCGATTCCCTTTGCACGACAAAAATTTCCACATTTTTCACAGCTAATAGCTAAAAAAACTTCAAACAACCAAAAAAACACCTATCTACAACTAAAAAAACTTCAATCAACTAAAAATTTGTACTGGACCTATTCGAGTAAGTGACTAACTCAAGGAGGGTGGGAACTACAAATGGCGCGGTTCGCGAATTTCGTTCAGTTCTGGCGTAAAGAATTTTCCAATAAAAATAAATTTTATCGGTGTTTTGTCTCGAGTTTTGTTGAACACCTGCATGCTTTGTTAAGTTAGATTTTTTCAGGCCTTATGCATCATACCTTTTGTTTAATAGAAATATGGTTTATGTTTACTTGGATTTATAAGTCTCATCATACCCCCTCACCAAAAATCAGATCTGGATTCGCCCCTGTATAGTTTTATCGGTAGTTGCCAATAAAAGAGTTTCTTGTGTTACACATTCCTTTGGATAATATGCTCGATATTACCTATTCTTTCTTTATTCAAATACAAAGGCTCTAGATTATTGAACACTACAATGACATGCCTTTTCTGAAGCAGACATATTTAGGAATCCTTTAAATTTATCTCATAAACTGATATGATCAGAAATAGAGTTTTGATGTCTCCATCTCTCAATTTGTGTATTTTTTTACTATCTCAACTATCTCACAGTTTGTTGGTTATTTTTTATTGATACAATAACTTGTTTCTGATTCTCAAGCTCAAGGATTGGGGCGAGGGTTGGGGGGCATAACAAAACTGGTTGAGGTAGCAAGAGCAGGTTATTTATTTGTTTCCAGAATGTCTTTCGATAAAAAACATGGTTCTTATGCAGGTTAAGACTAGCTGGTAGACTTGTCCTGCCAGTAAAGATGTTGGTAAATTGTCAATTATTTGGCTTCCTAGGAAGTGGTTCTTCACCAGCACCTTTAATCTAGTAAAAAAGTTTTTTCCGGGCTATAATGCTGTGGTCCATTAGTATTTCTACCTAACGTTTCGTCTACTGCTGCGGTAAACATGACGAAGTGTTCTCTTCTGTGTTCCTCCGATGACTGGATTCGACATTGTTGGACCTTCATTTATATCCAAGTGTTGAGGTTCATGCCCTCTTCTTTTCTGTTGAAGTTGTTGTGGTGTTTCTGTATCTCTATGGCTTCTCTGTGGAGTCTGGTGTAAAAATGTTTGGTTCTCTCCAATGCTTGAGTCTGGTCGAAATTCTATAGACGCCAGCCGTTTCAAGAGGTGCCCTAGGATCCTGGGCCGATCTAAGACTTTGCTGAATTGTTCTTGTGAGCTTGTAGATAGGATTAACGTTGTGTCTTTCAAGCGTTCGTCCTATGCGATCTGTGACATTTTTGATATAGGGAAGAAAGGCTCTTTCTGCCATCTGTGCTGGTTCCTTGTTATTTTTGCGCTGTTGCTTCGGTCTTATGGCTCTATGCATCTCCTGCTTGGAGCACCCATTTCCTTCAAGTGCTGATTTTAGGTGTTGCATTCCATTCTGAAGGTATATGGGTTCACAAATCCGGATTGCCCTGTCAGATAAAGTTTTAATGACTCCTCTCTTTTGCCTAGGATGGTGATTGGATTTCTTGTTGAGGTATCTGTCCGTATGCTTTGGCTTCTTATATACTCTGTGTCCCAGTTTACTTGAGGGTTATCTTTCTAAGAGGACGTCGAGGATTGCAATTTTGTTGTTCTTCTCAACTTCCATCATAAACTGTATCCTGGGTTCTATTGAGTTGAGATGATTAGTCTCAATTTTCGAGCTTTGCCTCTCCATGGTTCCAAATAACAAATGTGTTATCTACATAGCGAAACCAACAAGTAGGTTTCTTTGTGGCTTTTCGCAGTGCCATTTGTTCGAAGTGTTCCATGTAGAATTTGGCAATAACCGGGCTGAGTGGACTCCCCATTGCGACTTCATCTGTCTGCTCAAAGAATTCATTTTGCCATTGAAATAACGTAGTCGTCAGACAGTGGTGAAGTAAGATGTTGATTTCCTCCGGAAAAACATCTGTCAGATACTCTAAGGCCTGATTCACTGGTACTTTAGTGAACTATGAGACGACATCAAAACTAACCAGAATATCATTTGGTAGTAGAGTGATGTCACTGATCTTTTTGATGAAATGAGTTGAATCTTTAACATCAGAGCTGGATTGGCCGATCAGTTGCTGTAGGAGGGTGGTGAGGTATTTGACGAGTTTCCTTATGTTTTCCGGGTCCAACGGTAGTGCTCGGAAGAGTTGATTGGTTTTTCGCAATATAGAAGCAGTGGGATTGCGCTTCAGCTTTCTGTAGGTGGAGGGGTCTAGCAGTTCAGAAATTTTTGATTCAAAGTCAGTCACATTCATGATTACCGTTGCGTTTCCTTTATCCGCAGGCAGGACTAGTATGTTCTTGTCTGTATTCAGGCTGCGAATAGCTTTCCTTTCCTCGTATGTCAGGTTGCACTTTGGAGGTTTCGCTAGTCGTAGAATCCTAGATGTTTCATTGCGTATTTCCTCTGCAGTGGTTTGAGGTAATGTGCGTATGCTAGCTTCCACATTTGCTATGATGTCTTCGAATGGCAAGTCTTTGGGTGTTATTGCAAATTGCCTCCTTTTCTTAGAACACTGCTTTCCGAATCGGTCAGAGCGCGTTGGGTCAGGTTGACAACTGTGCGATCATTGCCTGTGGGTTTCGCAATGTTCAATGGTTTCATGGACTCAAACTTGTTTACCAGTGAAAGCCTTCATTCTCTATTTAAGCAGCTTTATTGGTTTTTTTCCCAGAGGTATTGAAGTTCCCATCAGTTCTTTTCATCCATCCCAACCCTGTGCTGTTTCTTTGGACAGTATTATTACTATCAATATGTTATTAAAATGTTAGAAGAATGTAATATTGTGATAGAAAAATGTGATATAGACTTTTTTAGTTTCTCGGTATCGGTAAGTGAGATCAAACTTGCCTTTGAAGCCAACTTATTTTATTTATTTATTTATTTTTAACTTTATTTCAGATTACAGTAACATACATAAAAATATACACATAAACTATTAAATGAAATAGCGTCACAAAAAAGACCTTACACCTAATGATACTCAGAACAATTACATTATCTTATATCCATTTATATATAATTCAAATAATCTTGTATACTATATGGTTCCAACTCAATAAGTATTTTTTTCAGTTTACTTTTAAACATTTTTTCTTGTGTCATTATTTTTAATTCATTGTTTAGTTTATTGAAAAGTTTTATTCCCATGTAACATGGACTTTTTTCCAATAATGTTAACCCGTGCCTCGGAAAACAAATATTATTTGCTCTAGTGTTATAATTATGACCAGCATCAATAGCATTAAACAATTGCATATTCTTGAAAGTAAATAAAATTGTCTCATAGATATATAGAGCGTAAATTGTCATTATCCCTTTTTCCCTAAATATTCCCCTGCACGATTAGAGGGGGGACATTTTATACATTGTTCGTATTGTTCGCTTTTGAATAACAAATATATTTTGTGCCCTAGAGTTGGATGCCCAAAAAATTATACCGTATCTAGCAGTACCTTCAAAATTTGCAAAATACAGTGTTCTACGCGATGTCTCATTCATATACCTTGAAACAGTGCGAATGCAAAAACAAATGCTATTCAACTTATTTTCTAGGCGCCCAATATGGAAAGACCAGTCTAAATGTTCATCCACATGTACGCCCAAAAATTTGGTATTGTTTTTTAATGTAAGTTGATTTCCGTTGACTGAAATATATTCAGGTTTCTCTGTTCTGTTTAACTTGGTTCTGAATAGAATAGCATTTGTCTTCCCTGTGTTTAGGCATAATTTATTTTTCTTGAACCAATTTTCAGTTTCTGGGAATAGAAGAGAAGTTTTTTCAACAATTTTCTGCAAATTTGAGCCACTGACCAGAACATTTGTGGCATAATCAATATCTGAGCATTCTGTGTTGATGTCATTCATAAAAATTATAAATAAAATCGGTCCCAGTATGCTGCCTTGGGGAACCCCTACTGTATTTTGCATAATCTCTGATTTATATGAAATTCCGTTTTTATGAAGTATTACTCTTTGTGTTCTTTTATTTAAATATGAAGCAAGCCATTCAAGTGCACGTCCCCTTATACCATATATTTCCATTTTTTTTAGCAAAAGATCTCGATCTAAGATATCAAACGCTTTTGACAGATCCAAGAAAATACCCAGGGCCAAATTTCCCTCCTCCAAGTCTCTCAAAATTGCCCGAGTAAATTGAAATATTGCAGTTTGTGTTGACTTTCCTTCAATATATCCATGTTGGTTTTCTGATAGAATATCACAGTCTTTTAAAAAATTTACAATTCTTTTACACATCACAACTTCAAACAATTTTGAGAAACCCGGAAGGAGGCTGATCGGCCTGTAGTTATCCATCAGATTGCTGTCTCCTTTATTTTTATAACAGAGTTTTATTGCTGATAATTTTAAAGTTTCGGGAAAAGTACCCTCTCTAAGTGAGTTATTAATCATATAACACATTATATCTATGATGGCGGGAACCACCTGTCGAATTACACTTGTGGGTATTTCATCATCTCCACTGCTTTGTTTGTTTTTAATTTTTGGCTATCCACTGGATTAAGAAAAATTGATATACTATTTCTGGTAATGCTATGTGTCCATTCAACATATGGTATGTCCTTTAATATATTCGGTATTGTTTCTAATAAAAACTCATTATAATTGTTGGAAATCTCACTAGGATCTCCCTCCATCATAGTATTACCCACATCTACGTTGCTTGTTATCTCTCTATATATTGACCACATGCATTTATTTTTATTATCTGCATTGCTGATACGATTAGCATAGTTTTTGGTTCTGATGTTTGCAACTTTTTAAATTGTTTCCCCATAATCCCCATATTGTATGTTGATGTTATTGCTATTTTTATTTTCTTTTGTTTGTTCACTTTTTTTTTCATGTTAGCATAGATATTATGTATATAGGTTAGTATTGGCAGTAAGCACTCTTTTAATGTAACTACAAAAATTCTTGTGTTTCAAATGAGTATAAAAAAATAAATAAATTTATAGTTCAGAACAGATAAGTGGCATAGCCCATGAAACTGTCCTTTCATTTAACAATAGAAAATCTATACATGACACTGCATTTGTACATAATGTACTAGATGTTTTTTTCCTTTATCTATTTCTCTATCCAGTCTATGTGTTCACACTGCTAGCTGTCACTGTCTCTTCCTTCAAATTGTTCCAATCTATTAGTTGAAAAGTTCCTTCTTTGTAGTTTCTGGACCTTTTTTGAGTGCCCTGTTAGTACCTTCGACTTGCTGATTCTAAAAATATTGGTTTTGTAGTATGGACTGGTCTACTTGTATACTTCTACCAGATCTCCTCTTTGTCTTCTTTCTCTGAGTGTTGTGAGCTTCAGTTTCTCTAGTCTTTCCATTGGTTTAGCTTGTAGTGCCCTATGTATTTCTTCGAGTTTTCTCTGTACCTGCTTAAGCTTTTTTGATGTTATACAGATTCCAGACTGAGTGTGCAAATTCCGATTCCAGCCTAATATACCTTTTCTATAGTTTCACTTTCATTTTTGCTAATCAGTATCATTTGTTCTGATTGTATTTTGTCGATTTTGGCACTGCTTCATTCATCTTACAAACATTCAAAGAATCTTATTATCTACAACTGTCTTCAATGTTTCTTTCCTATTGGTTTTATTATAGTTTGTTAAGGCCACTCTATATTTTTTCCATTTGCCATTGTCGTTGGCTCAATTGAATAGTCTTTGAACTTCTCTCCTGGCGTGATTTAGATATTGATTATACCAGGGTGTATCCTGATATTATTTCAACTGCCAACTCTAGCCAATCATGATTGATAATAATTGCAATAGGCACACTGAGCAAGTTGGATGTTAGGAATTTATTAGTTCTGTTTTCAAAGATATTACAAAGCAGTCAGAGCGAATTTCATTGGTTGAAAATAGTCAGGAAACTGGTTGTTGGCGATTTGGACCAAATCAAAAACGCTCTAACTGGTTTGTGATTTCTGTGGAAACAGACCCTTAATAAATATCCCAGTTTGCCCTTGCGTCCGATACTGCAGTGTTTGTCTAAGCCCCCACTGTTGTACTGAGTTTGAGCCGTTGATGTCGATGATCCGATGACAATGTTTTTGTGAAGACAAACGATAATATTGCTCAGAAAGTTTGACCTGATTCTTAACTCAACCTAAGCTCTTGTTATGGGGTGGTCCGAAAAAAACCGGAATTTTGTTTTTGAGCTGTAACTTTTCCTGTTGTTGACCAATTTTCTTTTGTTTAGGCTTGTTTGGAAGAGAAATTGACAGGCTTACGAAGCAAAGTGAAACGTTTGACATTTGAGAAAAAATTAAAATGGCGAAGTTCTTCATAAATTACCTAGTTTTGGATATAGACCGTCAGATAGTGACATATTTAGGTGCCCCATTTTGGCATACAAGCCTCGAAGAGGGTTGAAAAGTAAATCGATTTTGAGTAGGATGAAGGTATTTTCACAGGTGGCTGCTGGGGATAACATAAGGAAAATTGGATTTTCCATAACAGAAATGAAAGACGTTCTGGTGCCCATATTTTCTCGCAAGCTGTGTTCACCAAAGGATCAAATAATAAATCCTGGCTTCGTGAAAACAAAGAAGGAGGTGTTGCAGGTGGCTAAAGGTTTGAAATAAGGGCCTAATGTTGTAACGAAAAATCGAGATTTTGGGCGATTTTTCCACACAAGCCCATTGGAAGGATGAAAATCTACAAAGTTGGTAGCAAGAAAACATATTGGCTTGAGTGTTGCGAATGGAAAAGTACATTTTAGGGTAACATAAGTAAAATCGAATTTTCCATATGTTATCCCCAGGAGCCACTCGTGAAAATACCTACATCCTACTCAAAATCGATGTACTTTTTAACCCTTTTCAAGGAAAATGGGGCACCTAAACATGTCAATATCTGACGGTCTAATACCGCTGGGACTTTTTTGTGACCCCCTGTATAACTTTTTTAATAAATTCTTCAACTTCATCATTTTGTGTACATTTAAAAGCCTCAACAGAGAAAATCGGTTGAAAACTAAGTGAAATATTGAAATTTTTGTAATACTGAATATCAACTTTTCAAATACAAACTCTCAAATTTCAAAAGTTTCACTTTGATTCGTTAGCATGTTTAATTCTCAGCTCAAAAACAAAATACCGTTTTTTTTTGGACCACCCTATACAGTGTGTCCACTTAAGTTCACAGCATATGGGAAACTTTCTTATTATCAATTTTACGAAAAAAAATTTATTCTTTAGAAAAGTTTCTGCTTCTTGAAAAAATAGTATTTACCTATTAAAACTTGAAATAGCATGTATAGGGTGGTCAGAAAATAGAAAAATATACATAATTTTTAGGTAAAAGTAGCACATCATTATTTTTTAAAACCTTTGATATTTTTTTCAGATTAAGCAAGTCATATTATAGTCGAAAGATACCTTTCCTTATCACAAACAGACCTGCCAAATTTGAAAAAAAAAAATTGGAAAAGGGATTTTTGAGCTAAAAAAACGATTTTTTCTAAAAATTTGACACCCTGTATCTCAGAAACTACGCATTTCCGGACACATGTTTATGGGAACTTTTTTTCTTAAAATATTGTAAGGAATCACATCTTGAAATTACGAACCGTACTTAGGAAATTTCCTGTATATTCTTCTATTTTTTGACCACCCTGTACATGCTATTTCAAGTTTAAGTAGTTTTTTATTATTTTTTCAAGAAGCAGAAACTTTTATAAAGAATAACTTTTTTTCGTAAAATTGATAATAAAAAAGTTTCCTATATGCTGCGAACTTAAGTGAACACACTGTATTATATTTTTAACCGATAAGCCTCTATCCTAGTTATACCTGTATTTTATAATACATAATTATGTATAAATATACTGATTATTATTGATACAGGCTTAATTAGCACAAACATTTTCTTCCAATCCGTCTTCTTCTCCGGCACTCATCAGAAGATTTTACCTAATATGGAGAAAAACCAAGCAACCGAAGAAGCATGTTGAGCGAGATATTAAGTTTCGTTAAAAACAAAATTCTCACTCATATTGTTGTTAACTTTCAACTTTTTCTTTTATAGGTATAGTTAAACGTAAAGTGTTGGTGCTCGACTTGGACGAAACTTTAATCCATTCACATCACGATGGTGTTGTAAGACAAACTGTAAGGCCTGGCGTGCCACCTGATTTTATCTTGAAAGTCACTATTGATAGACACCCAGTGCGATTTTTTGTGCATAAGAGGCCTCATGTCGATTTCTTCTTGGATATTGTGAGAACCAATAATTTAATATATTTTTCAAAATAACAAATGTTTTTCTGCAACAGGTATCTCAATGGTACGAGCTTGTTGTCTTCACAGCGAGCATGGAAATATATGGTGCAGCTGTAGCCGATAAGCTGGACGCTGGCAGAGGCATCTTGCGTAGACGATTTTACCGGCAACATTGCACCCCTGATTTTGGGTCCTACACTAAGGATCTGAGCGCTATTTGCAGTGATCTCTCTAGTGTGTTCATTTTGGACAACAGTCCAGGCGCTTATAAATCGTTTCCTGGTAAGTAACACGCGTACAAGTTTCCAAATTAGTGTTGTGAATCTGGTTTCACTGAGTTGATATTATACTGAAAAATTTTACTCAATCCATTATGATGTATCAACTTTTATCATAAATTTACTCATCTACATGGTATTCACACAGTAAAGGTTTTAAATTTATAGGATTGGTCAAGAGCTAAGTAGGTGTTTGTATTTGATTCATCATTACTGGTGAATAAATAATACATTTTTTTGAGAATACTGTAATATGAAAATTGCTTGTTAGATAGATAAGTAACATTTGTAGGTATACATTAATTTAAAACAAATACTCATACTTATGGTCAATATGCTTTATTGTTCCAAAAACATTGATATAGCGAATTATATACAGTGTCATTACTTAAGTGTGCAACATATGGGATTTTTTTTCAGTGATAGCACAATCAAAATACAAACAAGGCCAAAAGTTGGTGCATGTCTGATAATCATATTAGGTGCACTTAGAATGGTTGCAAGTCAAACAGCATACAGGGTAGCTCAAAAAATATCAAAATTGTAGAAATATTTACTTAAATGAAATAAAACTTTTGCACTTTAAGGAGAGTTTTTTTAATATGGCTATTATCATTAGTAATGTTTTAACTTGTGAAAAAAAAAATTGCAACATTTTAAAGTTGTGTTGAATATCATTGCAACAAACATAAATTTTGTGATTCCATAAAAAATTAAAAATCTAAGTTAATTTTACAAATATGCTTGAATTTGAACAAAGTTATGTAAAATTGATTTGATTTTAATTAATTTATGGAAGTATTAAGGGCGGAAATAAAAAATTAAAAAAATATAGAAATTATAAATTTTTTTCGAAAAAAAAAATTTTTTTTTAGGCCAGGTTTTGGTATTTAGGCATAACTTTTAATTCCAAAAAACTTTTCTCTATAACATTTTGCTGAATTTTCCAAAATAAGGGTACTTCACAGTATAATTTTGATATTGTTTGAGCTACCCTGTATGCTGTTTGACTTGCAACCATTCTAAGTGCACCTAATATGATTATCAGACATGCACCAACTTTTGGCCTTGTTTGTATTTGGGTTGTGCTATTACTAAAAAAATTTCCCATATGTTGCACACTTAAAAAATCACACTGTATATTGGCCGGACAGCCTGTATATGTATATATTGTGGGTGTATTTTTGTTTACTGTTTACATTTTTAAATTATTTATAATTCCCGCCCAAGAATCGTAAATTAGTAGCGAATTCCATTGGAAAGGTTAGTGCGCACTGAGTGTATTCGTGTCTGTTTCTACCAGCTTGTATAAGAGAGAGATAAAAATACATTTTTTCTGCACTGGTTCTACCAATTGAATTCGCTATAACATGATTGCTCGTCTTAATAAGGCGTACGTTCGCCAATTCTTGAGTTGTCAGCTGGTCTGCAAGTGACGTCACCCGCAGACCTCTATCTATTGCTTGCTAGTTAGTTCAGGCTGTGCTTGTGAGTTAATTTTTTCGTTGATTTGTGGAAGAAGTGATTTTAACGTTTTTTTTTTGACGTATACTGTTTTGAACTCGGATAATGCATTTTACGCTAAGAGTTGATGTCCGAGGCTGACATGGCAGACATTTTCAGCTCAATAAGCAGTCCCAATAATCGTAAACTAACAGAATTGCTCATCCTCGTAAGGCGTACGTTCGCCAATTCTCGAGTCGGCAGGGCCTACCGGTGACGTCACCACTATCAGCAGGGGTGCGTTCATAAAATACACACAAAAGCAGCTCTGTGTGATTATTCGCTGGAATATCGTTCATAAATCAATTGAGCCGTTCTTTCTGTCATCTTCATTCCGTTCATAAATGCTTTAAGAGCCGTTTTACACGGCAAAGTTTCTTTACGAAATTACTCACGAAATTATTGCCGAAATATTTCGTAAGTTTACTAATACTTGGTTTCGCTTTTTCCTGTTTTACACGACAAGAAACACTTACGAAATATTTCGCCAATAAACTTTCGAAAATGTTCTATAGTTTTTGTGGGCGCGGCCGAGAAAATGCGCGAGTTTCTGCGCACACAATTACAAAATAAACGGGGCATTCTTTTCCATCGAGCCTTATGAATCCGTCAATGAATTTCCTATGTAAAAGATAGAGATAGACTGCTTATCGGTGAGTCAACCGGTGAAAAAACTTTTGCGCCCAAAAACATAGGGTGGGAGGGAGAGTACCAGCTGGTCAAAGTCAAAGGTAAACAAAACTTTAATTATGGAAGGAACACAGAAATTCAACTTAATAAAACTGCGGCGAGTACAAAGATTCAACAAAAATTAGAAAATGAAAGTTTTTATTTGTTTTGTTTTGGTTTACCAAGATAAGATATGAGGTTATGATTTAATATTATTGATGGCAAAACGTAACTGCGCCTGCGTATGACTAATATTTTCACGAAACTTTTGCTAAATTTTATTGGCGGTGTCAAACAGGAAAAAGCGAAACCAAGTATTAGTAAACTTACGAAATATTTCGGCAATAATTTCGTGAATAATTTCGTGAAGAAACTTTGCCGTGTAAAACGGCTCTAAGTTAAAACCCGGAGTGCGCCCCGCTTGTTCGAATTTCGCCGCATTGGAATGTCCGGCGAAATGTTACTCCACATGTGCATTTGTCTAAAAAATGAAAATGTGAGGTTGTTTTTCGTTTTCGTTTTATTTGGAGCACAGGTTTGAAGTATCATCAAGCATACCTACTACCTATAGTCAAGTGTAATGTTCAAACTTCTAATTAGGTAAATTATAATTATTTACTGAAAAAGGACTTATTTGCCATATTTATGATTTACATATGTATTTGGGAAAAAGGCATTGCACATTAATTGATTAGCTTATTTGAAACATGTTTGATTATCCAATAAGATAAATTAATAATATGTATATGATTTTGAAGTTAACTAGATAGTCTACTATACATATTTCTATATAGGTATAGTTACTTTGGGTTTGCTTGCAATAAATGGCGAAATTGAAATATAACACAAATGCGTTCCTAAGAGTTCGCACTCTCGACACTCTGTGAGGAATAAAAGCACACACTGCTTAGAAACACGCTCACACCCACACCAACAACATTTTCTTTTATGAACGCACTCCAGCTTATAGTCGTGACGTCACCCGCAGGCCTCGATGAGATGCTTGCGATCAGGCTGTGCCAACTGCCGAGGGCTGTACTGATTGATTTTTTCGTTGATTTTAAATGTAGAAAAGGTAGAGGAAGTCCTCCTCGTTTCCGGCTTGCTTTCCTTCACTTGCCAATATATACCGGTTCACACATGAATGTCTAATTTGTTTTACTTTTATTAATAAATTAAGACATTCTTCCTTCCTTTTCTAAAGATTATCATATTCTGTGAACCCGAGTTTCTCTACAACATAAATCGACAAAAAAAAAGAAAGAAGAACAAGATTGTGAACAGTTTTACACCCGACTTGCGGGTAGGTACTCTAATTTCGCTGTTTTTTGTTTCATCCTCACTTTTGGCTTTTGTTTGCTTTTTCGACAAATAATTCCGCTTGTCTATCAGTGCCTTTGTTATTTTGGCGAGCTTTTTTCCGAAGCCTATGCAAGTAAGTATCTTTTCATACCAAAACAATGTAAGATGTTCTAATTTCTCATTTTTCGACTTCTGAATTAAACACAAGGAGCTTCTTTCCCAGTGTTTTTATGGTTTTTGCTGTTATTGTTTGTTTTTTTTGTTAAATTTTGAGACATCAATTATGTATTCTGGATTATTCACTTGAAATTATAATAAATTCTTGAATCTACATTCTGCCCTTAGTCCTGTCCTGTTCTGCATAGGTTAGGGAATTTGTTTCTGCGTCTGGCTCGAATCGTGAAGGTGAAATTTACGATGGGATTCGTAGATCCTCGTTTACTTTCAGCTGCGCGCGCACAACCTCCCGGAAATACGGTCACGCGTAGGAAAATCTTGGGAGTGGTTGTCTGTCGTCCGTCAAAATCGTGACTTGCGCTCTCGACGCTATCACGCATGGGCCAAGGCGCCCGGCGGTCGCCAAAGCTTATAGAATCCATTAGCGAATGCTATAGCTGAGTTCGAAAAATGGCTCCACCAACGTGTTCACCTTATATGTAAAATCAATTTGAAGTCACGTGTAAGAAAATCCCCCGGCGATGTCATTTCCGAACTCGCCATATGAACGGTCTACGCTACGATACAAGTAAGTTCGAATACGTTTCGCATTTTATTGCGTATCGAGTTGATCGGCTCGGAGGTCATTTTGAAGTTCATCTCACAGTCACAAGTATACAGTCCGCTTTCTCTCAGTAGTGTTCATTTGTTCGATACTTATTTATCAAGCAGCAAATCCAACAGTTTCATTTTAACCTCACTTTCGGCTTTTGTTTGCTTTTTTGAACAAATAATTCCGCTTGATTATCGGTGTTTTTGTTTTTTTCGCGGGTTTTTGTCCGAAGACTGCAAGTAAGTATTTTCTCTTTATAGCAAAACCAATGTAGGGTATTCTAATTATTCGACTGCTAAATTAAATACAAGGAGCTCCTTTCCCAGTTTTCTGAAATATTTTTATGTTTGTTGTGTTATTGTTTATTGCTTTTATTTTTGTGAATTTATGGTCTATCATTTTTACATCAAAATGGCACTTAGAATTTTGCACCTCTAATTTTGGAAGATAAACTGAATTTAGTTTTTTATGGTCGAGTTTATGGTATAGGTAGGTACTCTCAACAAAAATTCTTTTCAAAAGTCTGGTAATTTCTACAGAATTTTTCACAAGAATGTCTAAAATACAGTCAAAATAATATCCAAATATTTAATGTCGGTGAAGTTAGTCTCGGTTCTTAGCCTTGTATTTTAAACCCTTGCCATCCGCACCAAACAAACAAATTTCTATTGGGTTTTTGCGGGTTATTGTGATAGTTTTTGTGTTTTTGTAGGGTTTTTATGTTCACCTAATACACAAAATAATATATTTGTTTCAGCTTT